CCCCAAAACCCCAAAACCCCAAAACCCCAAAACCCCGTGTGAAGAAAGTTAATTAGAAAAAGTATGAAATAAAATATTAAATTAATGGCTATGTCAATTAATAGGCCTGTTATTGTTGATCCAGCTACCATGCTCCGAATGTCTTCCCCTAATAAAAAGCCTATTGTTGCTCTCTTTAAAAAGGTATGTAAATAAATTTATCTTAAACGTTTTTATTAGAATGGAGAAAATGGTGGAAGCATTTTGATTCAAGGGTCTAATGGAAACGGGAATCAGTTTCAGGGAAATTAGAAATAAGTTCCTAATCTCATTAACCAGCAGAATCAACAAATCCTTGCTAAATCTTAGATTAACTTTTTCGGTTAAAGATAGAGCTCTAGGAAAAATAATAATTAAGGCGCTATAATTAATAATTAGCTATATAATCCCTAGGCAATAGAAATATAAACTAAGGAGAAACCACCTGGATTTAATCAATAGTAATAACAGTAACCAAGATTAGGAACATCTCACTCTTAAAAAAATATGATCAGATAAGGACAGTAAATGAATGGAAATATGTTAGCTTTTAGTGGATCAACAGTTAATCTAAATGGGGTAAATAACTTTGGATTAATTGGAAATCTTGGAAATCAGATATAGATGAGTAGTGCTGGCAGTGCTGGATTAATTTATAATGCTGGATTAAAACAAAAACTTGGAGGAACTTAGATTATAACTCCACATTCTTAATAGAAAAACTCAAAAATCAAAGCAGAGTTCTTTAAATCATAAATGAAGCAATAGCTAATTTAAGGTAGTGGAATAAGTTCATAAACTATAAATAATAATACAGCTTCTGTACAATAAGATACATAATAAGATTCTGATGGTGCTAATCCAAGTATGTAAATTGGTGGTGGAGGAAGTGCCAGTAATGGAGGACACGGTCATCCTCGTGATTTACCTGGGAATGGGGGCATCAATCCCGGTTTCTGGACACAGAATGGTAATAACTATAAAAATGAAATAAACAATCCTCTTTACTTCATCTTCAACAATATAGTTCAGATTCAACCAAGTCAAAGTATATAGCAGCCATAGTTTATAAGTGGTATATTTGGCTCATCAATTGGAGGAAATTCAACTGGAACTTCTCATGGAAATTATAATTCAAATAAGAACCTAAATGCCTAACTTTAACATGGATTGCATAGGGTGTTCTCATAACAAGACTTAGCTAGCCAGCCTTTATTACCATAATAGTAGAGATAAGGAAGCTATCCAATTTAGTAAAGGATAGTCTTAAAACAACAGTAAATAAAAAAGCATCTAATGTCCACTAAGGGAGCAAATAAATACAATAGTTAAAGACCATAGACAAGGGGATAGGACACAGGTGGTACTTAAACTTTTGCACCAGGCAGTCCTATTAAAATTTTTTCACAAAGTACTTCAGCAAATCAAAATGAAAACGAGTTCAATCCAAGACTTTAAAATGCAAATGGAAACATTTAAAATCATTAAAATCTTTAACTAATGCAGCAAAGATAAAAACCCTCCACAGGCTATGGATCTCGTGCAGCCAACAGATAAATAAATCAGAATCTGATTTAAGCGACTTAGGGTGCTAATAATTTACTGATGTCAAGTCCTTTAACTAACAAAAACGTTGGCAATGAAATGAATCAAGTAAATGGATTGTTGAAAAAAGGCAGAGAAAACACAAAAGGCACTGGATCAAAGATAAGTGTAGAGGAAAATAATTATGATAATAATGAAGGTATCGATAATAATAACAATAATGAAGATGATGATGAACTACTATCAAGTATCCACTCAATCTAATAGAATAATACAAATGAAAAGTAAGTGCCAAAGCCACAAGGATATCAGACGATGAGACAATTTCAATTCCTTAGAAATGACAGAGAAGAGGAAACTTGCTTCAATGATCTCTATTCTACTTTGTTTTCCAGTCTCGAATGAGCGTGAAAGTATGAAGGTATGTGCCATAGTGAATGGATGTTGTTATACAAAGAATAAAGAATGTGATTAATATAATCTATATTTCAGTTATTTTATTTATTAGCTAGTTAATACTTTTACTTCTACAGGTTCTTTCGTTTTAACTGCTCATTATATTATCGCAATCATTAAAGCAACTCAAAATATTTATTCAACATATAATTCTATAATCACATCAAAATATGGATTGAAGGGGTTTTGGGGTTTTGGGGTTTTGGGGTTTTGGGGTTTTGGGGTTTTG